AGCAGGGTGACAATATACAGCCTTGATGTACTCCTTTTCCTATTTGGAACCAGTCTGTTGTTCCATGTCCAGTTCTAACTGTTGCTTCCTGACCTGCATACAGGTTTCTCAAGAGGCAGGTCAGGTGGTCTGGTATTCCCATCTCTTTCAGAATTTTCCACAGTTTATTGTGATCCACACAGTTGAAGGCTTTGGCATAGTCAATAAAGCACAAATAGACGTTTTTCTGGAACTCCCTTGCTTTTTCGATGATCCAGCGGATGTTGGCAATTTGATCTCTGGTTCCTCTGCCTTTTCTAAAACCAGCGTGAACATCTGGAAGTTCACGGTTCACGTATTGTTGATGCCTGGCTTGGGGAATTTTGAGCATTACTTTACTAGGGTGTGGTGCTGCTGCTGCTGCTACTAAGTCACTTCAGTTGTGTCCGACTCTGCGCGACCCCGTAGACGGCAGCCCACCAGGCTCCCTGGGATTCTCCAGGCAAGAACCCTGGAGTGGGTTGCCAGTTCCTTCTCCAATGCATGAAAGTGAAAAGGGAAAGTGAAGTCGCTCAGTCATGTCTGACTCTTAGTGACCCCATGGACTGCAGCCTACCAGGCTCCTCCGTCCGCGTGTGCAATGAGTGCATTTGTGCGGTAGTTTGAACATTCTTTGGCATTGGAATGAAAACTGAGCACATTAGTCATGATTATACAATTAAGAAATATCCTCCTATGTTACTTCTGGGTTTACATGCGTGGAAAATTGCCTTCTGAAGGGTGTAAGCAAAAATGTGTTCCACACTTAGTCTTGCACTCATAAGAAAGGCAGCTTTGGGGTCTGAATAGGATTTGGAAAGGTAGAAAACATGAGGAGGTAATGATGTAAAAACCAAGAGATAGGAAAAGAAAAGCAAGTTTGTGGAAGAATGAATATAGTGTTTTGGCTGAAGCAGAGCTGCCTTAAAAGACTTATAGTGTTGGGGACTTACCTGGTGGTCCAGTGGTTAAGACTCTGAGCTTCCAATGCAAAGGGCATGTGTTCTATCCTTGGTCAGGGAACTGAGATCCCATGTGCTATGTGTCATTGCCAAAAAGCAAAAACATCCACATAAACAACAATAATGAAAAAGAGTAACAGAGATATATTTGGGTAGAATTAGAACAGGAAAAAATTGAACTAGTGAGGAGGCAAAAGAGAAGTTTATTTTGCCCACCTAGGCATGAGAGGTAAGGGCCAGAAGGAGTGAAACTTGGAGGGGAGAAAAAGGGACTGCAGATGAAAGACAACCTTCAAAAGACAAGTCAGCAGGGCTTGGACACATTAAATGACAGGTGAGCAAATGGAAGAAGACAGAATGACACCAGTATTTTCATTTAAGTTGGTGTGGTGTGTACGTTGACATCAAGAAGAGCAAAAGTAATATTTAGAAGGGCAATGATAGGTTTGACTTTTTCATGTTGAATATGAATTAATAGAGAAACGTTTTAAGTAAAATTTCCAGGGGCATTTGGAAAACTTACATTGCTCTGACCCACAGATGGAGTTGGAAGTCATCTGCATGGAGGACAGAACTGAAAGAGGTCTTTATTATTCAAAGATTTATAGTGGAAAGGTCATTTAAATAACTTCATACAGAACAACACCACTACATACCTGTAAATAGTGGAAAAATTTAATAGGAAAAAAGTAATTACAGTTATTTGTATGTTATATTTAAAGCAATTTCTATTCTAATTCCAACTGGCCACTAATTCCTAGAATGAGCAAAGAATTAATTTCTTTTTGTCGCTGTTTTATATACCCAGTGAATCTGTGCACTAGTCTCTGAGAATCTACACTCTGTGTTACTTTCTAAAAAATTGTGTAAATGTACATTTATATTCTAGTCTTTTGTAATCACAGTTTTTTTTTTTAAACAAAAATTAT